GTCAAGTTTCCATGGCTGATATTGTGAAGATGGCTAAGCCGCAGAGAAAAGTGCCGAGTGTACCTAATGTATCTCACCACAATGCCAATGCCCACCAAAACCATATTCAAGGGCTGCCGTCTGGTGCATCACATCAAAATCAGTTTTCTGACAATCATACATCCAATGTTTCTGATGTATATCGAAACTCTGGGATTATCTGGTGCAGCATCGTTCAACCGATGTGGAATGGCCTCTAATCGACCAGCCATCAGTTGCTAGCCAGCCCTCTATCTCAGAGCCTCCCACAGATTCTGAGCTGCATCCTGATCCAGCTAACATATCATATGACAGAATTAATCATCAAACTGAGATTGATGAGGTTCAGGGGATAGATGACAGCACTGCTGAAAATCTTGGTAGTCCTCCAAGCAGAAAGTTGCAGGAGAGGGTCTGATTTTTTCCGATAGAGCATAACTTCTGCGTCATAATAAACTATTTGCTACCCCAGCTACGTCTTCCACATTTTGAATTATACTATTAGATGGCAGACCATCAATAACTTCATATAGAATTTCTGCAGTTTAAATTATTTATGTTCATGTTTTATTATCGGCATTCAATCTTTCCCCTCAATAGCACTGGTAATCATGTTTGGACACCAGTAAACACTTTAAGATTCACTGCTTAATTAGCTTGTCTTAGCTTCTCCAGGTTTATGATCTAGACCTCTCTCCTCTCACTAATAAAGAACTCAAGTTTCATGCTGAATATTACCATGTGTTAGCTCTTTGCCTTGCGTCTGACTCATTGGATTCTTGCACCACGTACGGCCTTCCTCTTACCACAACCTTGCACTACGTACTAGCTTCTTTAAATAAACGTCTGGACATACTACTCTTACAATTAGATAAGCTTTCAAAATGTGATAGAATTACTGAAATATAGCTGTTAATTCAAAGGACGTCGCATAAATATTACACTTTCAAGTAGTTAACGAACATTTGATAGAAAATCAGTTCATATAGAGCTAATCGATTATTAAAATGCAGAATGTTGGTTACTCAATTGTCAGCGGGTACTTCTAACTCCATCCAAGCTTTGACATTTTATGAAGAGTTAATTTGTATACACGCAACAGGGTAAAATTCATTGACTTAAAAATTAAACGCATAGGGTCACAGTTGCAGTGCCAAACTTTCAACTGAAAGCAGCAAGTGTTTTTGAATCTTTGTCATGTTCGGTTGCTTAAGGTTATATCTGTAAGTTTTATAATCTCTGATATGAATGTAGAGGTCATTCATTGTATCCATTAAAGCTTGTAATTCATTACAGGATAGCCACATCCGAGGCCGAGGCTCAATTAGATTTATTTTATCTTAATCTCAATTTCGGTCTATTTATCATTATTGTTCTTCATTTCATTATACGCACTTTGGATTAATCAGATTGCTCTAAAATACAAATTCAATTATTTATTCTAAAACCAGTTTTTGCGTAACACAAACCTTATCATTTGAGGTGTTAAAATATCGAAATAATGACTGATCATCCTCAATATCATAGTCATTAGATTTGGATATAATGATTAGCATTAGCAACTACTGATCTGAGGAAAAACAGGACAAAGACTAATAAAGGTAAAATAGCAGTGATTTTACANATCGTCGCAACATTTATTCCTATAATGTTGAAATTATCAGGAATGTCCCAAGGGCTATACAAAATAAGTTAAGAGATTGAAGGGCTGAACGAAGGGAAAAAGAAAAGAAATTTAGAGAGCTTAGGCCTGCACTAGATCTACATATTGCAAATTATCAGCTTATGAGAGATGCACTAATAGATGCTATAGACAAAATTATACTATCTGATTGGGAAGCATTGTCAATTTTAGTAGATTCACTTGGACAACCTTTAGGTAGTATTTTAACTGATATTTATCACGAGGTGTGGCCAAGTGGACCTTTTTGGGTTTATGTCCTTAAATTTGAAGCAGAGTNGCTTCTTTTCCTTCTCCAAATGAGGATACAGTCGCTGGAAATTCAAGACTGCCCATATCAAGTGTCTTAAACCAATCTCAGGAAATAATACCTTTGGCGAATACAGTAAACAACTTTTATTTTGCACCCATTTTCAGCAACAAGTTTACAACACTCGGCCATTATCCCCATGATTTCCCACTCCCACACAAAACTCCTCACATCCAACCATTTCATACACGTGCAGTCGTCCACCTTCAACTTCCCCATGTTTTCAACCCTCTACTTCACATATCCCTTCACAAATCCTCCCCACTTACCCACTATAACCACTTCCCCACTATACTAATCACATGATATTATAAAAGGACATAATAAGGGAGGTGTTAATACAAGAAAATTCAGAAAACAACGAAGAACAGAGGAGAGTCCGACAATATTACGCAAACAAAAATATTCTGCAAATTCAACATAGCCTCAATTCTGCCGGAAAAGTGAATGCTTTTCGGATTNTATGTATAGTAATACTTTACAATTGTTTTGCCTCTTTTCCAATCAAAAATTAATGAGGAATCGATCAAATGGTTTAAATTTTACGATTGATCAAGTTATAAAAATATGAGATGGTTAAGCAACTAAGTTAATAATTTATTATATTTTTTTCTTCGTATTTTCCGCGCATCGTGCGGGTACTATACTAGTTAAATGAAAAGCCAAAAACTTTGGTATACCAAATCGTTGTAACTCTGAAGTAAGAGGAAGACTTTGTTGATCTTCTTTCTGACACATTTTGATGGGTATTTTGAATTTCAAACGGATCTTTCAATCCCCACTTCTAAAACCCTAGTTTTCTCCTATAAATACTCCTCAACTCTCCCGCCGAAAGATGATCTTTGAAATCCTGAAAAATAGTGAGAACACGGCAAAATCGAGTCAACAAATAACTCTCTTCCTTTCTGTAATCTAAGTCCTATTTAGTTCGCTAAAATAGAGTGTCGATCTTGCTACGTGGAGGGAGTAGATCTGAAATCTCANTTTTTTTTTTGCAATATAGTATAGTATCACCGACAAGAATATACTAAATTTTGTGTGATCTATTGGAATTTAGTATGTACAAGTCTATTGGTGTTGTCAACTTATTTGTATACTAACTGAAATTAGGATGCGTTTCTAAATACTCATATTGGAATTAATTTAAATAGTAGTATCCTCTATTCATTATTCTATCCAATTCAACAATTAAATGTTTCTATTAGCATTCACTATCCTTTTAGCAGTCCTCTCAAGAAATAACATCATTGTCTCT